GGTGTATGATGAGTGGTGTATGATGAGTGGTGTATGATGAGTGATGTAGTGATGTATGATGAGTGGTGTATGATGCTCGGCGAATCAGCCTGCCACAGTCCCATTTCCTATAGGTTTATTCTTTTGGAAACTTCCGCCGCCGGCTTGCCCGGGAACTACTTGGTATTATATTAAAAGTCAAACAATCAGAAGGGATCCTCCATCTCCAACTGATCATGATTACCTGATTGCTTGGAATCGTTGCTGCTAGAAGTACCAGTCCACGCAAAGGTGGAAGAACAGTGAGGGTGCACCTGCTGTGAACCTACAGAAACTGAAACTAAAGAGATGCACTGGGTCGGCTCGCTTTTGAAGGCCAAAGCGAGAGCGCTGTGTTGGCCAAGCTTTTGAAGGAGCCCTGCTGAATGGACTCCGCCAGTGATGAGCCTTTGCATCTTGAGTATGCACATATATAATATATAGAGAGAGAGAGAGCGTAATTGCAACCAGTACTTTCAATGTAATGCATACTTTGCGATGATGCACTAATGGAATGGATACGTGTCCAGTCCAGTCAGAAGTTCCGGTTGTGGATGTTATTCAGCATGTGCGTGCATGTGCCGCATGTTTGTGTCAGGATCGCCCCGAAAGTGTTGGATGCTCAGCGACAACATAGCAATCCAGCAGACCTTCATCACTATTTGACTTCCTTGGCCTCAAGCAATCCGCAGGGAGCAACACGGCCATGTTGAGTTGATAGTCATTTTGTGCAGAAAGGTTGTTGCAATTCGTGTAGTTACAGTTACAGTGTCATTCATTCAACTTGTTTTGATCCGTATGCTGTATGTTCAAATTCTTATATAAGCTCGCGTACCACGACAAGTGTTTTTGCCTGAGTTACCCCTAGGATCCCTGCGTGGCAGATGCCAATGGTTGGACACCGTTGCATCTTTGCTGTGCGCTTGGAAAAGCATCAGAATTGAGGCTGCTCTTGTCACAGGCTCCTGCACGATGGCCGTTGCTGGTGCTGGTTTGTAAACATGAAAGCACCTACAGAAGGACGTGTGGGGTATATAACATTGGCATTCGTGGGTTTGTTTGGTTCTGATATCCTGCCTTTATTCAAATACTCAGAACAATTTCGGCCGATCAACAAAGGATTGTTTTGGTTGTGCTTCTTCACCCATGATAGGCACCAGTCCACAGTTTGTTCGTAGTTCACCCCGATGTTAAGACCATTTCCGCTGTCTACAGGCAAAGGGCAAAGGGTGCGTTTCAAGCCTTCAAGTATATATCCATGTTGAAGACTTTTCTAGATTTGCCATGGACCAGTGATTGACAAAAGCAAAAGCTCTTTAATGGGACAATAGCGACACACATCTAAGTTTGCCCATGCTGGCTAACGGTTGAAATTTGGACAGAACTCGTTCATATCGCTCGTGTAACCTCATGAAGTAGAGAATCAGCACTGAAAAAAGGAGTCGAGATGCATTTTGGAACCGTGCAAAGCTTGTCCGGAACAGTGCCTTGCGTCACCCTCTCAAAATTGTCCAGGCCAAGCTGTTGCACCCAAGCCTGTGGCATAGCGAATCTGGGAAGGTTTGCCGAAATCCGAATCTTGCTGACGCGATGAGAAATCCAGCAGAGCTAGGAATGAACAGGAATCTACTTACGGATGATGTGCATTGTGCATGTACATGTAAGAAGATAAAGGAAGGACCAGCATTTGCGGGTGCTTTGAAGATGGTATCACGCCAGCCCTTTAAGAGGTCATTATGCAAAAATTGCAATCTTGCTGAGCCAAACAAACTGAAGCACTTGTAGGAGAACCTGCCAAAGCAGAGATATACAAAGAAGGACCTGGAGAATAGCTGCTGCAGTTTCGACAGTAAGACGGCATTCCTAAAGAAAATGAATGAACATGAAAGCCAGAACAGTTCCAACTTCACACAGCGCGATTTGCTTGACCTAATTACCTTTGATGGTCATCACCAGGATGCCCAGACTGAAGGCAGTGGAGAGAAGTGTTCGTGATGGCCTGAGGAGCGTTCTTTCTCCAACTCACGTGTAGTTGCTCACCTTCGTCGAACGAGAATCAGGGAACCTAGGAACAGCAAGATGGGATTTCCTGATATTGAGGTCACCTCGACACTGGTGCTCCCTTGGGCTTGTAGCAGAGGCAAAAGATGTCCTACTGACAGCTTTTGCTTGGATACGAGAAAGTCAATGGATTCTGATTTAACATGAGCCCTGGCACACTCATGTAGAATCATATTCTTTAGTGCTTCCTGGTGCACGAGGCAGAGGCACCACCTGCAAGAAAGGCGCGCACACCACAAGTTAAACTTGCCTTCGGGGTTGGTCATGAACAACGGGAAGAATCGCACGAAGCTCGATGAAGGATTGGGTGAGAGGCTTGAACAAAGATTGAAGGCCACAGCACATGTTGGTCGAGTCACAGTCCTCCCTTTGCAGGGTGCTCGGCGCCCCGCCCCAGTGGCGCCCTCACACTCGATGATTGTCATTTCTTGCCAGCAGCATTGCACGAGGGGAGGAAACCTGTCGCCTGGTCTTAGAGTTTCACCAAGAAACGGCAGCTAAGAGCAAACATTGTTCCTAGTACCTAGTAGTAAGGCCAGGAGCCCCTAGTAGCGTCCTTGCTCCTAGTAGCGATGCCCTTTGCTCATTGCTCCTAGTAGCGTCAGCGTCCTTGCTCCTACCCCCCCTGCTCCATAGTGGAATTGAGTACTCCATAGTTGGCCAACTGCTTGATAGACCACATGGAAACTGCATGAAACTGCTGAGCATCCCTCCCTCTGAAGCTCAAGTTAATAATTCAGGAAATCTACAAAAGGGGCGTTGAAGAGGTCGATGATAGCAGGTGCAGGTCGATGAAGCGGATTTTCTCACCGCGGGTATGACGAAAGACGCCAACTGTGGAGCCCTGTGCGTGGTCATTCCTGTCGAACCTGGGAGTTGGAACATATTTGGGTCAAACGGGATGAGTAATCTTCGCTAGTAGAAACAAGTGCATCGCTACTAGAAACAAGTGCCTTACTAGTAGTAACAAGATTCGCTAGGAACAATAAGAAGCTATTTGAGTGTTTGATCCCACATTTGGAGTGTTCACAAAAGCACTTAAACAATCCAGACAGCATCCAGTCACAGCTGAAGGCCGGCCGGGCTCCTGGCTATCCATCCCACTGTTGGACTGCAGATCTTCCTCAGGTGATGGCTGTGCGCTGTGTGGATTTTGTCATGTGCCTTTATTAAATGTCGTTTTTCGGAAGCAGAAAAGTTGAGGGAAAAGATGGGAAAAGCATGTTTTGGGGCCGCTTTAATAAGGCTCCCTGTACAGCGGCCATATCAAAGAGGATCAACACCACCGTTATTCTTTTGTTCACGGACGCTCATGAGACAGCTCAGACATCATCCGATGTAGTCGCACCGAGAGTCGCAGACGTCGAAGGTGGTATAAATGAAATCGTACTAGTCCATCGGTCGTCGAAAAAGCGTGGCCGAAGCCTTGAGCTTATCACCCCGTCCGGCCATGGTCGCAGGTGAGCAGCATGAACTCATTGATGGGACGGACACCAACTCACCTGGCAGCTCGTTCAGCTGTCGGAAATGAGGCACACTAGCACTAGCAAGCTTTGGCATAGGTCATTGAGCTATTTCAGCACATGAATGTGAAATATGGCGATCGTTGTGTAGTGGCCCGTGTTGAAGGCCTTAGATCTAGCATATGTGTTCGTGTGTGTGTGTGTGCATATTTGATCATATGTGTGTGCACCAAAAGAATGCCAACATATGCCAACTCTACTTTTGGAACTGTGTCCATATATTACAATAACTAAATACATATATATATATATATGTATTATATATATATATGTCATCTACATGTTTGGAAAATGAGGGGGCGAAGCATGACTCATTGCATTAGGCCATTCAGCAATGTTCTACCTCCTCTTTCAGTCCAAAGTTGTTGCACACATATAACTTGAAGCTCTTGCAGGAAGTGGCTTCCTGGCGCTCCAATGGTCACATTAAATGCCTGGAAGTGTTGCTTGAGGCGTGGGCACCAGGACTTGGCTACACTGCTAGGGAGCCCTCGATACCAATTCATGAATTCAACGAGGGCTTGATTGGCACGGTCCGGGGCAGAAGCCAACGTAGAGACGGTAACTACCAATTGCCAATAACGATTCTTACCCAACATATACTCAACAGAGGGTCATCCCCAAACAATTGGGTCCACACTGTGTTTTGTGCTCATTAAGCTGACATAGGCACCATGAATAGGTTGCCTTGTTACCTTGTGATCATTCTGTGGTTCTTATGACCACCATGGAGGGGAACCATATTGACTAGTGCTGGTGTTTGGGGGAGCCTTGGTGTGTGTGTGTGTGTGCGTGCGTGTGTGTGTGTGTGACAATGTATTGATAAATGTGCTTCATCCAGTGCTTTCTTGCATGTGCAGATGGGAGCTCTGGACCTTGACAAGCGAGATGACCAAGGTATGCCTAATCCTCAGTAATAGATATAGGAGTCCTGCTGGATGTTTCTTGTCCTTTTTAGTCACGCAAAAGGGCGTATTCTTCCGACGGTAGATGAGGTAGAAGGTTGCGGCGAAGGATATCCATGTCTCTTTCACACTTGACCAGTTGGGTTCTCCTGAATCTGTTGGATGAGTTGGATGATTCCGAAAAAGTGCCGCACAGGCCTCCATTGTTGGCTGCTTGTTGTGCTGGTTCTCTCGCTGGAGTAGCATGGTTGCTGCTTCACGGTGCGGAGTCTTTAATGCAAAGATGAGACGACCAAGGTTCCTGTCCGGATGATAATCTGACTCTGACATTAAAGCATCACAAAGCATCTAGAATCCATGAATCAACTGACAGGCTTTGTGAAGTTGTTCTTTTGTTTTTTTTGACAAAGTAGTAGCATGACGACACAGCCTGGTTCATTGTCTTTTTCATCGAGTCGCTTCTCCCAGGATTGCTATGCGGAGGACTGGCTAGCTGCTAGAGTTGCCTCAAGTATCCTCAAGTAGTCTATGTATGGTTAGCAGCTTCAAGCAAGCAGGCGGACGTTTTTACTACTACAATCATCGAAAGCTGTGTATCCTTCCCTGGCACAGGATCGGTTGAAGCGGAATGCTCTCTACATCGCCTCAGCCAATGGCCCCGACTCAGGCATGACGAATGATGGAGTTTCTCCTGAGGGTCAAACCACTGCCGTCCTGTGACTCCAATAAACTGCCATACTGGTACTTGCAGCTCACGGTTGTCTAGGTTCATTCGTGTGGCAGACAAAATTCAATACAAACATTGATCATTGCCACCCCCCTGCCACCCCTCCGTAACACAGAATCCATATCCACTTCCGCCTGGGCTGCTCTTGGCTGGGCAGCAGTGTTTTAGAGCTTTTGCCACTGAAACCAGGCCGGCTGGTGAAGTTCATTTGCCGATGGGATGCAGACGTCTCCAGGTGGCGGTGGGTCAGGGTCTCAAGACAAAGTAAGCTGCTTGTTGGTTGCTTGGATCAAGGGATGGCACAACAGATAGAGCCCCCCCACCAAAACAGAGCGGTAGTGCATTTTAGGCTATATACAACTAAAACTGCTGAAACCTGCAACAGCGTTACTGTAGGCCCCCTGAAGGTTGAAGGCACATGAAGGCACGGCATACCTGACTCATAGTTGTTCCATGTTGTTCCTTGCACAAAGGCTGGTGGCGACAAATGCCAGATGTGATTCCTTTGAGCAACCATGACATCTACAGTTCGCAGTGTGGATCAGGTATAGAGTCATGACAAAGCACAGTGTAGTAGTCGTACTGCACAACCCACACCCACTTCCTTGCGTTGCCGGCAAACACCGGTGATTTGTCCAAGACGAATGGTCAAAAGGGTAGGCACTCTCATCAATGCCCTCCATTTTTCTCAGCGCCGACAGGTTAAAGTCCATGAGAGACTGGAAGGGTCGGCGACCACAAGAGGTTTATCTCTATAGTAGAGGTGCGCTTCTTGGTGGAATGTTCGGTCTGATTGTGCTCACAGCTGGAGAATTGTAGTGTGAAATACTTGCAAACCCCCCTTTCATCCCCTTTCAATATCTTTAAGCTTGACACAACTATCCAAGTTCGATAAAAAGCATCAAAACACTGCGGCCTTTTGGTGTGATCAGGCTGGTCTCGGCGGAACTTGCCTGGGGGTGATGAGCGCCTTGAGCACTTCACGACGATTTGGGAGGTTCTTCGCATCGAAATTGATGCTGTTTTCACTCCTTCCATTCCAAAGGCCCATCTTCGGATGAAGGTACTGGCCAATACATGCAACGAGATGTAATCTTGGACTTCATCCTAGCCGTTTTTCCCCTTTGGCCATTGCCAGGCAGCAAGAAGCGGCGATTTAAAAATGCTAAGGCTCAGCCTCAAGGAGAGCTCTACACAACAATGGACAGTTGCTGCTTCTTAGTAGCTTATTCCATGAGCAAAGTGATGGGGAGCCTAAAATGGACAAAGCCAAAGCAATGTACGCAACGCGCGGACGTCCATTCACCTTTTGTTTGTGGACTCCAAAAACATGAGGGTAAAGTTGCAATCTGATGAGCATTCGGTGAATGGTCAATCGTAGATAGTTCCTTCTGGAAGGTTTGGATTGTACCTCACTTGTCCACGCACTGCATCTCCGCGTGCAAGGGTAGTGGTGGCCCATGGTTGTCCCTTTAAAGAAAGAACGTTACTAGTAGCGTCCTTGCTACTAGTAGTATGGCCAGGAGCTACTAGTAGCGTCCTTGCTCCTAGTAGGCGATGCCCCTTGTTACTGGTAGGCTCCTTAGTGCCCCAGGCCCATGAGACAAATGAGATCCTTGGTTTGCAGGAAGCTGGCGTGGACGATGTGAGCTGCAAACTTGGACTGCATTGCAACCACTCAGTGCGCACTGGAACTTCATTATGTCTTCTCGGTGCAAATAGAACCTTGCAAACCTGAGTTTCCTTTCCATGAAATGTCCATGAATTTCGGTGAAATCGTGTCTTCACTGGCAGATCGACTTGGCCATGGAGTTTTCCCAGCGTAGGAACTGACCCCACAAAGACTATTGAACGACGAGAGTGCAAGGTCCTGCAGGCTGGACTCCCGCGATGTATGCTGCACAAAATGGTCACATCGAAGTTCTAAGGACTGGGTGAAGGTTCTTGGGTATGAGTGACATGCGTTCAACATGCTTCTACAATAAATAGTTGGCTGATAGTCTGATAGATGTGTCAGGTCATTCAGCACGTTGCGTCTCCAAGAGACATTTTAATTATGGCTTTGAGATCGTGGTTTATATTCAAGACCAGCATTGTAGGGGAAACTTGATGATGCTGATTCGCCCGGCAACACCTCCATGAGCAACAGCTGGGCATGACCTCTAAACAAAACCCAGAAGCGGGAAAGAACGGCTGCAACATCATAGCAGAGGCAACCTACTAGAGATGGCCTCCAACCTGCTAGCGATGGCCTCCAACCTACTAGCGATGGCCTCCAACCCAGCGATGGCCTCCCACCTACTAGCAATGAATAGTCAGTCTTTAGAGTTTCTCCCTTTAAATGGCAAGCGGTTTCTGCAGGATCTTGCTTGCGATGGGGTGCACTTGTTCTAGCGGAGGCACGAACCGTCTCACTTCCACTTCGTGAAAGTCTTTGGCCTTTTTTGCTCCTGGGATGACCGGATGACCATTGTCGTTTGCCAGGGAAACCCCAGCGGCAAGATCTCCAAAAGTGGAAAGGCTATGGCCTCATGTAGCTGTTCGACAATTACTTCCTGACAATTAAAGCCTGATACTGGCTAGCGGCTAGCAAGCTTTGGCCAGGGTTGGCCATCAGATATTCTTGTGGCAAGACCTCTTTGTCGCTTCGTCATGTTGGCCAAATGTCTCGAAGCCTGAGCATGACTAAGGAGACAGCCCACTACACCTGGCTGCTGAGGCATGAAGCAGCACAAAATCAGCAGATGAAGCGGAGGAAATGCGCATTGGAACAAGGATTGCAAATGTTGAATTTCAGTAATGTCCGCGAGTTAACACTAACTTCAAAGCAGGCTGGTCAAATGACTCGAACATTAGCGGGTGTTGTGCGTGTCATAGGAAAATGCAATTGATTCTGATTCGTTTTGCACCAGAACGACAATCGAATACAATCGACACTCCAAGGCAGGTCATGCTGACATTTGCAGCTTGCTGGTACGCGCTGGCAGAGTACCTTTGCAGGCGGGCAGCACAATACCTATAATCTCAGTGGTTGCCTGCAAATGGATATCCATGACTAGAAAGTGCACAGACCAAACTACCAATGAGGCATGCCAATGCATGAAATAGACACGACAAAGCAATGGTGAGACGCAGGGCGTGTAGGTGGGCAGACGGAGAAGGACGAGCAAAGCCTAAAAACATCTAAAAACGATGTGTATCCTTCCCAGGTCGGATCGGTTACTTTCGCAGTCAGTCAACGTAGTGGCGACTTTCACTCCAACGCTGCAAATGATCGACAGTTTTAGCATGTTTTAGCCAAATCGACGTAGCTCGTGTTTGCGTTCACTCAGAGCGTCACTTATTTGATATTTGCCATGTCAGGCTCGCAACCATGCCGGCGCAGACCTAAGAAGGAAAGTAAAGCTGTGAGATCAGAATTCCAAGACGATGTCCCAGTCATCACCTCGACAATTCGACTGACAGATGCAACCTATGTTGGAATTTGGGCTGCTCTGAGATCAGTTCACAGAGTTTCATCCAACTATATTCTTTGCACAGTCACAACCAAGAGAGTCAACAAATATCCAAAGGCAGTGTGCCACAAGTGTACATTCTGAATAAGCATCCGAGCGTCTCCACTCTACAAATGTTTGAGGAAGAGGCCAGAGAAGCATGCAAGAAAACTATGATCATATGTTTTTTTCCAACCATTCCACATCGAGCCCAATGAACATGTCATTATTTGACCCCTATGTCAACCTCTCCCGCAAGCACGGACTTTCCTTCATTACGCGGCAGCCAAGGTCTGACCCCACTGCATAGCAGCGCCTTGAAAGGTCAGCTTGTGACCGTGAAAATGCTCATGGCTTTGAAAGCTGATCCGGAGGTGCGGCAGACGATGCCATGTGCCTTAAGAGGTTTACAGAGCTTGTAGGTTAAGAGCTTGCATGCTTGTGTTTGGAGCCTGACTGCGTGATAATCACATGCTTCTGACGATTTGCTCACTTGGCGGACATTTCAGGAGACTGAGAGGTCAAAGATGCCTCGCAACATTTTCCACATGTTGGTTGCTCGGGCCTTGGGCCATGTCCAGTACAGATGCCAATCTGCCAGATATCTTCAGATTCAATGCAGCATTCCTTGCAATTCTATGCAACACTAGATGCCAAAACAACACATGTAGGTGGGTTTCCGGAGGGGGAACGACAATCATGCACGTTTCCATTGTGATGTTCAGGCAAATGATCCTGAACAGACCGCTTGTGTACAGTGGCTCTTGGGCTACATGATGGCAGAGGTTCGTTCGTTGAATCAAGTCCAATGCCATAGAATGGAATCTTCGGAGGATACAGACTTGGCGTCAAAAACGGTTGATGTAAAGCTCTCCACTACCCCGTGAAGCACCCCTGTTCCAATCGGCAGGAAGCGGGTCCACAGAAAGTGGCCAAGCTTTTGGAGCACGAAGATCGAGCCAAGCTCCAAGCTTTTGGAGCCCATGAAAAGCTGTAGCAAGAAGCTACTAGGTGGAGGCCATCGCTACAAGTAACAAGAAGCGAGACCATGGAGACGGTATCTCCATCTATCATGCCCATGTTACTAGGTCATTGAAAGGCACTATGTGTAAACGTTCGCTTGTTTTGGGCACCTTGTCTCCACGTCCTCGCACATGTAGAGGGCTTTGGCATTAAGGCGAAAGGCCTCCGACGCCCTGCTGATTTGGCCAAGTGAAGCTCCAAGAATGGAGCATTTTGTTGAAGGACCTTTACATACTTTTACAAGCATTGATATCTGAAATGCCCAAGGCTGGTTGTCTTGTTGATCAGAATACTAGACTTCAATGATTCAAGTTAGACACAAAGAGTCAGCGAGCAACTTTCACAGATTCAAGCGTCACATATTATGGACAAGCAAGCTGGCTGCAGCAAGGTATGGATCGACTAGACAGCAGAGTCATTTAGTGACTGTGCCTCCCGCCAAAAAAAGAACAAGCGTAATACCATTCGTCCTTCCACGACTCAGGCAAGGACGATTGCGGCAGGCTCCACTCCTAGAGCCCTTTTCGACACCTCTGACAGAACCGCAGAACCGCGAAGAACAGAGCAGAGTGAGCAGGGAGAGTGCAGTATGTATTGAAGGATATTGAAGGTATTGAACAGTATTGAAGCATGTTAAAGTGAGCATCACCACTCAATGCCAACACAGGCATGTTTCTATATTCTGTTTGTCTTTCGACAATTGTTGTTTTGAACATGACCCCTTTGTAGAGTGGTGCAAGAGACAGTGCTGCCAAGTATATGGCATTACACTTCTAGAAGTTTAGTATAGTGGCTTCTGTATTGCTGTGGCGAGTCCTTTAGTGGACAGTGATGTTTTGTGAAAAGCAGTAAAGTCTCAAGGTCCTGATGCAAGCATTGCACAAAGCCCGGCAGAGACTTGATGAGGATCTCTACGCAGGCGCGGACAGTCTCCAGTTAAATTCAGGCCATAAGCTGTTCTGCAAGTATTACGAAAGGATACGAAAGGTATATGGGAGTTGATCGAAAACCCCGTGTAAGGAGTATTATATAAAACAGCCTTTCAGATGTTGTTAGAACCATCCGCGAAAGATTCGCGATGAGATTCGCGAAAGTATCTTTTTTTTCCGCGAAAGATTTATCGAAGGTCATCGCTTTCATTGGTTTCCTTTCTACCGAACTGACAAAGAATAGAAACGCAAGGCAATCCTCCGGCAGAGCCAGTGGGCGGAAGTGTCCCCATATGTCACAGACTAACGAACTGAAGCCTCAACATTTCCGTGCCCAGCCCTGGCAGTGCGTAAAGGATTCTCCGATTCCTGTCCCCACTGTCACAGACTAGCAATCTGGGTAGGCACAGCCCTGACAGTGAGGCAACGACCTGCAGCTGCTCTGACGGGCTGTGCAGATGTTTGCAATTTTTACGGCTTCCCGGGGAAAGCAGCAGTGACATTTCGCGAAAGTTTCGCGAATGTGCCGCTAAAGTCTAGGTTCCCAGCTTGAGGCCCCCGAGCATTCCCCATGCTGCATCACCCTGTGTTGGCAGCTGACACGAGGATTGGGTTGAGCTGTGCCTGACTCTATTTGGCACAATTGTCTCCCTATTTTGTGATGTTCCGGCTCATGTTAGCTGCTAGCTAGACTCGCAGCTAGACATGGTTGTAGGACCATGCTTCGCCATGAGGCCGCGAAAGATCCGCGAAAGATATCTTTTTTTCCGCGATGAATGGCCATTCCAGGATGAAAGAATATTGATCAACCACCATATAGATACATGCCAGGGCAAAGAAATGCGACCAAAGACCTGCTGGTGTTTGTCGAAGCTATTTGTAGTAGATCAGCCAAGAGGCTCGTCCTCTACGAGATGAGCAAAATGACGCAAGCAAGCAATTCCCGACAACAAGGACACGGGGATCAGTGCTTTTAATGCAGCTGAATATGTTTGAGCCTCTTCAGAACAGGTAATTAGCAAATTAAACTATTCCCGACGTTTTTGGAGGTGGCCACATGCAACCATATGATGACCACATGATTCCAAGATATTCCAAGAATCTATTGTCGGTGCGGCACTGGCTTTTATGACATTCTGCGCCTGTAGGATTGTACCTGTGCTGCTTCTCTTCAGAGCGCTAGTGAGCCTGAAGCTGTGTGCATGTAGTTTTTTTACGCGAACATTGACTGTGTGTGTGTGTGTTGGTATGCTGGAGCGAGTGGCAGTGCTAGGTCTAGACTCTAAAGGATATCCAAGTTCCAATGAAGGCATTGAGTAGCCATTTGCAAAACTCCAGGCTCAATTGTTTGAGAGCAAGCACAGAAGCTACCAAGCATCCTCACACGCCGAGTCTTCAGGATACATGGGCAAACTCTGAAAACATAAATGATTCATTGTTTCTGACATTGCCAATCTTTTTAGTTGTTGGATTTGCCCAATCCACTTACAGGCCAGTGTCATTGCAAAGCCGCCAATGACATGGTTTCTGGACCAGAAGAAACATATTCCAAAATGTTGGACCCTCCTCACTTGCAAGTGTCAAATCCAGTCAACTCCGTTTCTTCGTCGTCCTTCTTAGCAGAAGAAGGCTGAACAACACCATACCATATCATTATCATATAACACTGCCCGCAGTTTTCTGCAAGGAAAACGAAGCAACGCGGCAAAGCGCATCACTTTTTCGTGGACCATTCTGCTGCTGCGGTTTTCGCAGGGCTGGGGAGCTTTCCATACCAAGCTCATGCAGCCGGCGATGCAGAAATTTCAGGCAGTGGTACTTGCAAATGGTCAAAGGGATCCAAGTGGTCACGCAGTTTGATCACTGTCCTGGTGTTTAAACATATTTCAAGGATTTTCAAACCTAGCTTCCAGTGTTTTGAACAACTGTGGGTGCTGACATCATAGAAGGGCCGAAAGGTTGTGGTTGCCTGTCTCAGATGAACCAACGTCACACCGGGTGCATCACACTTCAGGTAAAGCTCCAAGATGTGCTTTGCCGGATGCATCGCTCTGAGAAGCCAGTATGCCTCGTGTCAGTTTCTTTTGTCGCTCGGAACTTTCGGATGTGGGAAAGCTGTGCAGTGGGGTCTTTTGTGTTGGAAGTGGAAGAAATGGATTCCTGATTCCTTACTGAGTGTGTGTGATTGGTTTCACACCTCAAGTGTAAAGGTCGCCACCACGGTGTCAAGTGGTGATGAACGCTACCGCTAGGCAGCGGGCGACAAAGTTCAAACCGATCATTCCGTCCAAATATTTGCAAAGTTAATTAAGTTACTTCCGCTTGGTTTGGGATGCTGGATACTGGATGGCAAGAGAGAGAGGGAGAGAGAGCCTCGTGTTGCAGCCCAGCTCTTCTTTACTTACAGCACATGTTGTTATGCAAGCGGCAATACCCAGAAGTGTTTGCTCCATTCTTTGCAGCCACCAAGATGTGTACACAAGATACCCAGGACAAGACATAGTGCCATATCAACTCACGGTGACTTACGGCTTTTCAGGTTGTGATCCCTTTGAATTCGCAACGAAAGACCTGTAAATGCTTGTGTGGAGTCAGCTCCTGTCAGGCCAATTGACCGTAGCACCGATTTAGAAGAGGTCCTTAGGCTGCTGGGCAACAGCCTCAGATAATTTTGGTTTTCATGTCAGCATGATGGTGTTTTGCAGCCACCCTTGTCTACTTTCAGCGGACAGTTGCTACAGTATCAGTCAGCTTCATTAACTCGAGAAGAACACGCATATACTATAGACTATAATATATATATATATACCACTCAATCGGACGATAATGGTGATGACCAGGCTGTGAATAGACCAAGTTCAAAAGAAGGGATGAGATTTGGTTGTGGTGCTGCCCTGATTGCCTTCGCGAGGTGAACAACTTGTAAAGCCAGTGCGGTGGAAGGAGCAAAGACACAAGATGGACCAGATGGAAACTAGACTGCTCAAAATCCCGCACTGCCTACCTCGTTGTTTGCTTCTTCAATTGCTGTTTGCTGTTGAGATCAGTGGTTTCTGGAGAGCTGACAAGATATGCTGTAGAATAACACAACTGCGAGTTTAATGCATACTTGTTATAGCGTTTGCTGCAAGAAGGAGCGCTACCACGTGCTAGTTAGCTTAAAGGCTCATATATTGACCCCATTTCACCAGCTGAGCCTGTGAATGCACACAAGCCACGAGTAGAGCTTCTCTTGAGGTAAGCCTCCGTCGCCTTTGACCAGATATTCGTAAACTATAGCAAGCTCTTCTGGCTTGAAAAAACGCGCAGGACTCAATGGAGCTGATGGGAAAGCTGAGTTTGGAGGAGATTTACGAATGTGGCCCAAGGAAGCAATTGAAGGTGCCTTGAAGTGTTTGAGCATTCTTTGAGTGCTACCTCATCTGAAGGCAGATAGTTGCACTAAGGTCAGACTTGGATGTTTCGCTAATGATGCATGTGTCTTCCTAATGTTCTTACCATTTCATACCATTTCATACCCTTGGTTTGGGATTTGGGACCTTGAGACATTCTGGCTCAGCCGCAACTGGAAACACCTGGCAAGGGGGGCGCAATTGACTTGATTCGCTCGCAAAACCCCTGGTGTCAGTTTCGAAGTCAGCATGTAGGCGCTCATGAAGCGTATCAACAATGATACTTGGTGGCGAACCGGCAACGTGGAGGCAAGCAACGAGAAGGGTTCTCCAGCTTTCATGTGGGAACGCCAAGTGGGAGGACTACGATGAAGCACAGCTAGTTGAACTCAAGATGGAGTACCGGATGTGTTTTCTGCAAAACCAGGTTGGCTAAATAGCAGTATGACTCAAAACAGAAAGCAGTGGAAGGCAATGCATGACCAGGTGTGATGATGCCGGGCTGCACCAAGGACCATGTGCGGTGGTTCTTTGTGTCACTTGTGGAATGCATTGGGGACTGGTGGCGAAAGCCGAGATTTGTTTAACCATTGTGTTTCGCAGAAAACAAAAAACATTTTTAAACTTTAAACTCTAACCATTGGATTTTTGGCTTTCGCTTGCGCTTCTTTGGACAGAGGGTCAAAGATTGGGCAAGTGCCGTTTTCTGATCCAAACAGGGGTTGGGATTGGAAATGCAGGAGCTACTCTGGCATTCTCCAGCTGAGTCGTTCGCTTTTCGCAGAAAAATACATGGCCACCACGACAAGCCAAGCATCAGTTTGACAAAGTCGTCGTGACAGCCAACACCCTGAGATGTTGGTTTAGTAGGTCCCCAAGCGGACTACGAAAGTGTGTGTGGACATGGACTCCTAAACTTACTCAAATCGCTGCGTCTTGTGTCAAAACTCAACACTGTTGTTTGATTGAGCAGAAGATGTTCGCAGCAGAGATAGGAGAACTGATGCATGTGTGTCTCCGCTTTGCAGCTTCCTCTCGGAGCAATTGAAAATTGAATGCAGATTTGTCACATCAAATCGTTGAGGAGAACAACAGTTGGAGTAGCCAATCTTGTTCATTCAGCAATAATGTTCAGTGTCTCAAAAAGGAAGCGTTCTCAGTTCTCAGCTTGCTTCAATGTCAACTAGGCAAGCATTGCTCACTTTGTGTGTCCATGTTTCTAGTCGTCCCTCCGATGTACATAGCTGCGCCGAGCGCATGAGTGGCACCCGCACTGGGATATCTCATGATGTCCACTGCAAGAAAGGCCGGGTAAGGGTGATTCGATAAGATTCGTGATCTATTTGCAATATATGACACAATATGACAATATGAGATTCGTTAAGAAGCACATGGACGAGATTTCGAGAGATCTGTTGGATGGACATCGGACATGGTATGTTTGAGTTGGTGAAATGGTGCCATTGATTTCACTGTCACTGTCCCAAGCCTCCAGGATGGAAGCCCGGTCTTTTGCAGACACTCGACATCGTCGGGCTGCTAAGCATCACCGGCTTTGTGGATGCGAAAGGTGCGGTGGAGAGAAAAGAAACAGATTCAGTAGCGTGCTTGCTCCTAGTAACGATGCCAGGAGCCCCTAGTAGCGTCCTTGCTCCTAGTAGTAATGCCAGGAGCCCCTAGTAGCTTCTTGCTACTAGTAGGTCAAGAAGGGCCCTCACGCACATAAGACCCACACGGTTTGTCGTGTACTAGTCTCAAGAAGAATCGGCATGTTATGGCAGTTGCAGTAGTGCTCCGACTGCTTTTGGAACTCGCTGTCATCGAGAGAAGGCACTATCACAAACTGCAAAAGTAGATGCTCTCTGGAAGACAATTTCCAACATCAGCGCAATCCAATCATGGCCGTAGGCTATCGTCCCATTGGGTGTCGATGCCTTCAGAAGACCTGCTTGCCTTCGCAGGTTTGTGCCGCTTGGAAGCATCCACCGCCTCGATGCAACAAGCCTTCTTCACCTCTTCGGTGAATCCAGGCGAAACACTGCAAAAGCCGCAGCAATTGTTTTTGTCTCAGTCCAAGATGTTGCATAATGTTGGATTGATGTTTATGTAATGAAGGCGGATTTGTGGAGATTCACTAGTAGATTTGTCCAATGAAACATTTATAGCTTACGGCACTAGTAGATTTATCCTACAAGCCATCTTATGCCACTAGGAACAAGTGCATCGCTTCTAGAAACAATCAAGTCTTGGGATGGGTGTTTGGCCCTAGCCGGTTCCATTCATATGTCTCGCCAGAACGGGCACCCTGGCGGCTGGCTGCCATTCAGCGGGGGCTTTGCATCTTGGAGAGGAAGAGCTTCAGCAGCAGAGAAGTGCATCAGCGACTCAAACGCTTTTATGGCAAGCTACACCTCGCCACTCAACTGCAACGCTGCAGCTGAAATGGTTGGAAGATGTTGGAAGTGCTTGTCCCACTAGTCATGGATGCAGAAGTCTTGCAATAAGAATTTGTCCTGGCCACCAATGGTCAGCAAATGGTCACCAGTCAACTGTCGAGTCAAAGTTGTCAAAGTCGTCAAAGAAGCAGCGATGCCCTAGTAGCGATGCCAGGAGTCCCCAGTAGCTTCTTGCTACTGGTAGTAATGCCCTTGTTACTAGGAGCGATGCACTTGTTCTTAGGTGACGTCACCTGCCAATTGGCAGTGGCCGATCTATGGCCTGGACGGAGTTGATCGCTTGGAGCGGATCACCGAGAGCTTTATGCATGGGCTTGGCCAGTGCCACGGTTTACAGGTCTGAAGCTCGGAGCGGTGGACGAGGGCTAAGGGGGAGGCTCGAAGGCTTTTTGAGCGCTAAAAAAAGAAGCATGGACATAGAGATGGTTGTTCTTTTGAGCCGCCGTGTTTTGTTCCACACTCAATGTGAAGTCTGATGTTTTACTGTATACTTTTTGGACACATCTCAGCGCAGAGCATGGATTGCATTCGTACCCAGAGCTGGCAGAAGGTGCATTTGCTGGAGTTTGCCTTTCAGCCAAAGGCAGCGGTAGAGCGGCAGTTAACACAGCATAACTTTCCTTTCATTGGGATGAAGCGAAGCCCACATTGGTTTAAGACGCTCTCACATCACAGGCACGCATGTTTGGTTCTTAACTTGCTTTGAGTATCTTTGAGTTTCATGAGTCTGTTCTATCTATCTATACATAACACATCATAACACAATCATAACATATGCTCGTAGCATCTAGAATCTAGAAAGTAGAGTGATGCCTTCGGGGTCGCCGTGGAAGATCTGACAAGCACTTTAAACAGCTGCCATACTTGTTCAAGCAATTCTTGGGTGGAGTTTGCGAGAAAACGGAGCAACCAAGCTGCCAGGATGTGCAGAATGCTTTACAAAATGCCAATGAGTGGAGCCCTCCACCTCCACCAGCCAAGTCGAATCAGTACCAGGCTGGCAGAGTGGGACGCACTCGTTCGTTTTGAGATTATAGAGTTGTCCAGCTTGATTATCATTGATTATCATGCTGCTATTGCGGAAGAACTCAAGGCATAGCAATGACGATACAAGTGGATCCCTTCAAAGCAATCAGAATCCCAAATGGATAGTCCAGCATTATCAAATGACATGACATACTGGTAAACATGGAAGGTCAGAACTCAGAACTTTAGTGTGAAAGCATAGACTCTTTCAGCATGTGCAGTAAGGTAGCTGAATAGCTGGACAGAGATGTGGCGGTTCCACTCAGTGCTGCACTGTGTCAGGGCTCCTTTCAGCAGCTGCTGGGTGTCCATCAGTTGCATTTGGAAGCTTCAGTGCAACCGCTGATGACACGCCACGGAGGAGTGGAGTGTGCACTCTTCCTCGAACTCAGGCAGGGCACTAGCAAGATGCCCCTAAATACGCTTGAGGCAAGCAGCATAGTTGCACCTGGGTGCCACTTTCCAAGAATTCTCGCCAAGTTGTCACACGGTTCAAGCATCGACAGGCTGGGCCAGAGCCTCACAGAAAGCGCTTGGGTGCATGTGTTAGTGTGGTGCGGCCTCGAAGCTTTTCCAGGCATAGAAATCGCGCACCGCGCACATGAGCGTTGGTAGCGGAAGCAAGGGGTAGTGAGTAGTGGGTGTCCCTTCGTGAGTGCAATCAGAGTAGCGAGGGTAGAGCATAACTTGTTTTGTGCCGGACGAGTGGTCAGCGGATCATTGATGGCCTTCAGTGTGTCCTTCCCGGTTCGGGTGTCCATCCAACCGGCAAGGAGGCGACCCAGAAGAAAAGCCATTGGACGGGCGTCTATCCAATACCATATATATATACCAAGAGCATCCAACAGCCAAGTAACCAAGTTCAACTTTTATCCAGGCTCAGATGTATCCGCCAGTTCAAGAAGCATGGTCCATCAAAGTCACCGTCTTGTGCCTTTATGCACTTGGCAGATCTTGGCAGGTGATTGCCGTGGCTGCGCAGAGCCTGAGGAGCCTATGTCAGCCATGCAACTCAGGCTACCCAAAGGCAGGGCAGGGAAGCCTTTGGAGGCGTTGCAACAGGTACGGTACGTGGATGTTTTTGCTTTTTCATCACCTACGTTGATCCTGGAAGCCTCGACTCCTCATTCTGGCCATGACCAGGATGCGTTTGCTCAAGTTTGCAGCGCGTTGCTCGTGGGTCACTGCTCCAACAAGCCGTGATCTTAGAAGCCCTGACCATTCTCAAACCATTCACACTCCTTCCAATGCTGTTGCGATCATTTACTTGCTAAGGCCTTGACTTCTCACGGCACCGTCCGAACGCTTCTAGCCTTTGAGCCATGCAAGTCAGCGGCGACGTGAGAAAAACCTTGATCGCTTGGAAAGGAGGAAGGGATTGACGGAGAGAGAGAGAGAGAGAGATAGAGAAGTTTCTGCTCCCTTCAAGTTGACAGTAATTGGATGAAATCTTGCCTAGTGAAAGGTGGGATGTCCTCTCTCTCTATCTCTCTCTCTCTCTCTCTATCTCTCTCTCTCTCTCTTTTCTCTCTCCCTCTCTCCTCCTTTGTTTGTCTGAAATGTGCCTAGGTGTAGTCATGCATAGCCATATGGCCATAACTTGGTACCGCCCGCTAATAGTGACCCTGTGCGATTCGCACAGCGCCGAAGTGGACAGTGCTCAAAACCTCCCATGTTTTATATGTTTTCATTTGGAAGAGGTTGGATAATATGTGCTTTCATCCCATTTTTTTAGAAGGGACGGCACTTGTAACGTGGAATTTAGAATGGGGAAGGGCAGAAAGCGCACTTCTTTTTGGCGCACACGCGTTTTGCAGGTGTATGTTCTTTACACTTGCGGCCACGTTCGAGCCAACGCCTCAAGGAAATGTCCTCTGTTGTTCCACCGAAACTGAAAACTGCGGACATATTGATCGACGCGTTTTGCGTCACCCCACATCAAACACGAAGCATCAACTTCGTGACGCAAGTGCAAGCGAACGTTAACATGCCCCACCCCACCCCACCCCACATCAACCACGAAGCATCAACTTCGTGACGTAAATGCAAGCGAACGTTCACGTGCCCCGCCCCACCCCAACCCAACCCCACAAAAAATCGCGATTTCCTCTGGGGTCGCTAACAGCGGCGACAGCCATAACTTGGGCCATAACTCATCCAAGACCAACGTCGTGGCCAAAACAGCTTTGCACAGCAGCAAAACCCTTAGAGAGCATCAAAGAGCAAGGCTTTGTGGTATGAATTTGTCAATTAGAAGCGATTTTGGAAATACCAAGCTGCATGACTCTACTTTGGACCCCTAAGCTTCACTCGACCTCACGCTTCATTCAGCGGAGCAAGGTACCTACGCGGATCACATCAGTCTAGGAGACTCCACACAGGTAGGCTAAGAAATCGAAGTAGCTTCTTGCTCCTAGAAGCGATGCCCTTTGTTGATCACATTCATTTGCATAAAATTATCCATAAAATTCATCTAATATGGATCTGTATGGATCTGTCAATGCACACTTCCCCGATGAGAGCCCTTGATCGCTCATGTCCTCAGCGAGCTGGGCTGACACACCAGTTGGAGAGGAGGTTGGGGATCCCAGGAAGGCGAAAATTGCTAAATGTGAAGAAAGACTCCTTCAAGAACTGTCAGTTGGAATTCTGGTGCGGGGTTCAGCGTGGTTTAACCAGGTTGGTGTTTGGTGTTCTTGTAGCTGCTCAGACAACAAGGGATGAGTGTTTTATCCAAAGTGCAGAGTACTGCGTTTTGTGACTACGCTGATACTTGCGTAGCGAAACGCACGACTCAGGTTCTGGTGTTGTGCAAGTTCCCACAGTTGGAGGTGGCAGCGATTCAGATCTCACCATGCTTTGGTCACATGCAGTGTTTGGCTCCTTGTTAGATGGTGACGAACTCACACGATTCTACAGATTTACACTAATCAATTGCATTCTTTGCCAGCTTTGCATATATTGAGCACATTTGCCTCAATTTGTCTCGCTTGGGATTTCCCTCCTTGCAGAACTCTGAATTCTTCAAGAATGCATCCTCTTTCCAGATAGAGGCTGGGCAATGATGCTGTGCCCTTACGGCTTAACAACTGTCTCAAACAAGTTGCAAGTTGTGGAAGAGAAGTTTGAATCTCAGATGGGATAGGAGGCTGTGCGTGTACAAAGCCGGGGTATCGATCTTTTGGTAGCTGCAAACAATGTGTTTAACGATGTTTGAAATGAACCGAGTGGCGAGTCAAATCATTTGGCATTCTCGGATATGCTCGGCGATTCCCAACACTCAGTTGTTTTACTCATGGTTCCAGGGCTTGGAAGGCCCACTTCCACGTTTGGTGGTCGACGGTGCATGGCGCTTCAAAGGTCAGCACTCGAGGACTGCGGGGAAAAGAAACAGAACAGGACGCCCTCAACGTGCGCATTTTGCACATGTTATGTGTTTATTATATATATATATGCTACCCCCTGAACAGTCTACCTTTCCTGCCTGTTAAGTCAGCATTGGAATGTCTTGAAGGCATAAGACCTATTATAGCCAGTATATATAAATATATAGTACCCCCCCCAAGATCAGTGGTTGCTTATGGTTACATGCATGTATATGCACATCACATCATGTGCATATGTTTTGTGCATATGTATACAGCAATGCACATGACATCGTGTGCATATGATTTGTATATATGTGTGCAGCATCATATGATATGTACATGATTGCATCTACATGATCTAAGATCATCATTAACAAAGTGTATAAACTAACTGGTTAAGGGTAGTTATATAAGTCTATAAACTATGTGGGGGGGAGAGTGTACTAAGAAGTCTTCCTGAAGAATAGTGGAGAGGGGTGGTACTAACATGTCTTCTTGAAGACGAGTGGAGGGGGAGGGGTTACTGTGAAGTCTTCTTGAAGGAGAGTGGAGGGGGGGGCGTACTGTGAAGTCTTCTTGAAGGAGAGGTGACGAAGGGAAAGAGTTTTGAGCACCCCCCCTCCCCCCTACAATTAAATGTTGAAGTCGTGGCAATTTTCTATTTTTGAAGCGTTTCCATTGGGGTTTGAATGTATGGTAGTCGTGGCGATGTCGCGGTTGGTTGGGGAGAAGACAAGGCAGCAGCGGCGAACAAAACGCCGATCAAGCAAAACGCCGATCGCACAGGCAAACAAGTGGGGAGGCAGGTAAAACAAAAAACAAGTAAGGAGACAAGGCAGCAGCGGCAGACAAAACGCCGATCACAGCAGACAAGCGGGGAGACAAGAAAGAAAGAAAGAAAGCAAGATTGAAAAAAGAAAAGGTGTGCGCCGTAAATCCTTGATGGCGCGGGCTGTGGCCTCGTTCACCCTCTCGTTCACCCTCGCTCCGATACCTCTTTGCAACTTGTGTGAGTGAGTTAAAGTGTCCAGAGCCTGGCTCAAAGACATGTCAAGGGACCACAATGAGATTAAAATCATTGCTAAGTCATCGCGTTTCCATGGCAGAAGCTTGTTGTGAACACATGACAATTGTGCTTCGGAAGGAACGTCGGAACACATCAAAAACATTGCCAAATCAATGTGTTTCCATGCGGGAAGCTGGTTTTTGCAAGGACTATGCCGGGACTCCTTTTATGGCATCGCGTTTCCATTGGGGAACGCAAGTTTTTTCCTACTATGCCGTGACCTCCGCGGCTGAGTGTACCTACCCTACCAAAGAGTTGTGAGCAAGTATACTAAGTATACTCTATAAACTCCATGGTGAAATCTATAAACTTGTTGCGCTACGTTGCTGTACGTTTTTAAATATATCTTGTTGATGGGTTTGCTTTCAATGCTGAAAGTTCATTAATTTGAGTATCTGTATAAGTTCCACCACCTCGACCACCTCCACCTTTCTACTTGACTTTGAACATAGGCCTCTGTTGTTAAATGCGATGATCCTGTAATCTCTGGCTTTGTAGACGCAGTTCCTCTGAAAACTGTTCCTCAGTCAAATGAAACAATTATAGAAATTCTAAATGAAGGTAATCACTGTCTTTTCTTAGGCTTGCTATTGCACATTCTTTTGCAGAAACTGGTGCTTGCGTCGTGTATTTTCCTTTTGCAATACCTGATAGTTATGCGCTAGACTCTTCAGTGGATTTACTGGTGCCATGGGTCTAGTTGAATCTTTCTAGCACCTGATTCATTGTTGGTTTGTGCTTCCCCGGAGGTAATTCTCTTGGTGTGTCTTCTTCTTTTCTTCTTTTTCTTTTTCTTTAAAATGTTGAACTAGTGCTTTTGGTGTAGCCGTTGCTTTTAGTTCCTTGCATGCATGGAATTGCCACGGTTTTGGACATCTAACCCTTTAATCCTCTAAATTTGTTGTCTTGAATTGTTCTTTTATGGTTCGTAATGTGTTCTTGTTTAGGTGCTTTTTGTTAAGGTTCTTCAGGTTTCACTACTTCTACTTCTCCTGCTGGTATTTTCATTGACACTTGCAACTTTAATGTCTGTCATATAGAAAAGTGTAGATTTTCCTCCTAGGAAACATATGGGCAAGGAAATAGAGACAACTGTATATCAAATAAAATCATTATATGCAGCTTGCATGCTTGGGAGGAAGCTTTTTGCAGCTGAACAGGTGGCATAGCTGCTTCGTTGACGTGATTTCTTGCGTCGTGCTTTATGGAACTGAAATACATATATAGTTTGTGTATATGTTTCCTGATCAGCACTCGTGATTCAACACATAGATCTTTTTATTCGTGTTCATGCCTTTTATTAGGTCATATTTGTCGTTTCCCTTTCTTCTTGTTTTCAGTAGGGAAAAGTGCTATATATTATGATAAGAAAACCTACAATAATCAATATTACTCTATCACTGTATATGAAAACCTTTTTTTCCATCTATATGCCATATAATTCTGTAAGAACACGAGCAGCAAAGATAGGATAAACAGCGCTTACTATGTTCTTCTGTGTAATTCTGCTGTTTCTGTCTTCTCTTCATTTTCTTTCCTTGATAAACTCTCTGATCTCTCACCTATAGGAATAACAATTCTTTTCCTTTCTCTTATCTTATCTTCATTCATATTTCTATATATACATGGATTTTTCCTTGGGTCTTCAACCGCACTTGTACATGTCCTGCTTGAAACACATTTGCATACCGTTCTCCATGAGTACCACCTTCCTGGAGTGCCGTGCATCATGTTCGTCCCCGTTCGGAGGGACATCCGGCCGGAGCTGAAAACAGGATAGCCAGCGCGCACGTTCGATCGGTAGGATCCGGTCGGCTGCCAGTGTTGTCATTGGCGGGTAGGACCAAGACGCCGCCATGAGTACCATGCCAGCCACCTCCTTTTTGAAGTTCTTCTCCGGAGAAAGCGAGGGCCACAAGGAGTATCGGAGGTGGAAGGCCTGAGTGCAAGGTGCTCACCCTGGACAAAGGGCCCAAGCCAAGGGCGCCTATGTGTTCACATTACTGAGCGCTAAGGCATTGGAGTGCGTGGGACACCTAGAGCTCGCGTGCCAAAAGCTTCTTGACGCACGTCTTCCGCAAAAAGAGGTCACCGACGAGATGTCTGAGATTTTCAACCTTCGAGCTCATGAAGGGGGAAGCCTGGATCAGTCGAGCTGGCGCACTTTTCGGCAGGTGTGCTCGCAAGACGAACGTCGCCTTCTGTGAAGAAGCTCGTGGCTGGTTGGTCCTCAACCGCAGTGGCCTGTCAGATGAACAGAAGGCCGTGGTCTTGGCTTTGCTGGAGGACGATTCCACGCAAGCGCCACCCATGCATTTGGCGTTCAGCTGAAACCTATATGAAATGTTTCAGGATGTAGAACAGTTCTTGGCCGACTTCCAGCCGGAAGAGAACCTCGACGATGAGGCCTACGAGAGCAGTCCTCACACCATCCCCGCAGTAGCGACAGTCCGCCAGGCACATTTGGTGCAAGTCCTTCCTGAGTGTTCCATGGAAAACCAATGAGGTCTTGGCCAGATGCGCTGAACTTCAAAGTGGTAAAGACGAAGAGAACGAAGAAATCATCAAAGCTTTGCAAAAGTTGCGCAAGAACCTATAAGGACATCCTCAGACTCCAGATGTGGCTCGTATCCTTCGTCATGGTTCAGCCTCAGCGCGAGCAATTGAGCTCGCTCATGCGTTGGAGACATGTGCCGTTGCCGGCCAAGTCCTCGAGACAACACGCCTTTCAATGCTCTCGTGGGCAGTGACGTCAAGTGGTTGCCAGGTTGGCAAGTCAACCAGAAAATCAAAGCCCTGAACATCGTGCGTCAAGGATCATGTTATCAGGTACCAATCCATGAAAAGGAAACAGCCTCTCTTTTGCGCACCTTGTTCGAACGCCAATGGGCTCAGTGGGCCTGACTCCCCGCAGACAGAAGTTGTCATGGATAGTGCCCGAACAAACCTGGGGGGAGAAAGTACTTCGACGATTACGAGTTGAAAAATTCCTGCCGAAGCACAGTGGCAGTTGGGTCGCGCAGAGGCCCACAGCCTGTGGGACGGAGAACGAAGAGTCACAGCGTGTCAAGTTTGGGACGCCAGTGTTCAGAAGCGTTCGCGTGGAGGAGCAGGATCAGATCCTACTGCACGCAAGCGCCTTGTCAACATACGCCTTATCCACCTTGAGCGTTGCTTAGAGCAGGCTGCGCATGTGGATTCCAACATAGTTGAGGACATTGAATCCTTCAAAACGAAGCCTGGGGATGTCATATCTGAGCTGAAGGATTTGGTGCATCAGTGTGAAACGGATGCACTTCACAAGACTGACCGTGAGAAGTATTCAGGATTCAGCCTCCAACCAACAACACTTACACTTCCAAACAGTCCTTCTATCGTGAATTCATGAACCGGCCAAAGAAGACCGGCAAGGAGGAAAGAAGTCATTGTTCCATGATGATCCAAAAGCCCTTCCACGCTTCGACCTTTCAGGCCATTTTGCTGGAGCCAGTATTGCAGCTTTGGCAGTCTCTGATGAACGCCCTGGAGGAGCGGAAAACACCTCGTGGAGAGGTTTGTGTCGCGGGAGAAGATTTGGCTATCCACATGCTGCAAGAAGCGCATCAACTTTCTTGCAAGCTCCTGTTGTTGGTTCCGGTCATTGATGACAATCTCAAATTTGACAATGAAGTCATTGACAACCTTCCTCTGGCCCATAACCTGGCCAGATTGAGAACAGGCACTGTTGCTCTGGATCGCTCTTCTCTTGATTGGAGGGCCCAAACCCAATCAAGGCTGCCTCACCATCCTTCGAGGAAAAGGATGACCTGGTCAGCCATCGCATTACCGGCATGTTGGATTTGATTATTCGAAACGTCCAATATGAGCTCTGTCACGATAACATCTTGACGGGGTATATCAAGGTGGCTCCCGAAGAAGTTGACCAATGGTTGGCCCAGAGTGAAAAGAATGGATGTCTCGCGTCTCGACTTTTGAAGGGTTTGATCCAGCTTGAGGCCGCGAAATGGATTCAGCCACAAGTTGAAGAATTTATATTACATATCATCAAAGAGTGCTAAGGCTGGTGGAAAACCTCTGGCCTTTCGTTGGGGAGGGATCCTACCTCCACTGCCAATGAGTGGTTGGAGAAGAATGGGTATCACGTGGAAGGCCGTCCCACACCTGCAAAGAGGAAGAATGGACCTTGGTCTTTCAAGGGCTTCTAGGACGCCCCAAACATGTTGCAGACCGCAGCTATGAGCTATGCGTTGGCGAGAAAGTGCGCGACATCACCATCAAGCTATGGGAGAAGTTGAGAAAGCTCAGCTCAGAGGCCGTTCGTCTTTCCGGGCCACGTTGGGATGTTCATGAAGAGGATCCCATCCTCACCGCTACTGAGCGCCAAGCCACTTCTAGCCCAACCATGAAGTTTGACGCCAAGGTCGCTGACACTATGATGGATTCTCCTGGGAGGCACCTGACTATTGCGGCCTGCATCATGTTCGTCGCCGTTCGCAGGGACATCCATATTGGCCGGAGCTGAAAACAGGATAGCCCGCGCGCGCGTTCGATCGGTAGGATCCGGTTGGCTACGCGTAAATATTGATTTGTATATATACATATATATGCTAGCGTCTGTTTATTCTTTCATTTATATTCTTCTATTTTTTGATATAATGAATACTAATATATATATATGTGTGTTATAGATAAGGCCATATAAGTATAATCTACCTACCCCTATGTACCTACCTTTTTGGTGTGTTGTAGGTACTTTGCACAGTTGTAACGGTTATGAAGCCCAGACACTTGTAGCACGAATAAAGGCAGTCTCACTTTGCTCTTGGATCATTCTTAATATCCTTCATGAACAACGCTACTGTTAAAAACATGAGAAGGACGTTAACGGTTCAAATTGCCAGCTCCTGCTTGGACTTGGAACTGCGCCATTAGACTATGTACTAACAGGTAGAGTTCATGCAAATTATGCAGTGTGTGCTTAGAGCTCCGAAAGTCAAATATATACAATGAAGTTCCTTTGACATGGATGTGTTCAGATCCGTTTTGTAAAGAAATCATGACAATTACATGATCAGAAGTGTTTCCACAGAAGGCATTTGGCAACTGTGGAGTTGTGTTTCATGAAGATACTTTTGTTCAGAATGATTAAAAATAGAGAGCGGGTGGTCATGGGGCCTGGGTTTTGGTTTTCCCTAAAATTTTAGGTACATGCTTTAGTGGCAGCCCCTCTCCATATAAACACACATATCTATTCTTGCTCTCACTCTATATGAACAAATATATTATGTATTCCTGAGTCAGGATAATTTTATTGTTTTGGAAGCAGCAATCAGTCATTCAGATGGTTTTGAACAACATAACTAGAAAAGAAGCAGGCCATAAAAGTGGTCGTTTTAGCAATTGCCCTCTAGATCTCTGCTTATAATTATGTTTAGATTTGGAAAGATTGTGTATAGACGCTTTCATGTTATAAAAGATTCTTTATAAATCTCTGCAGATAATCATGTTTAGATTTAAACAACCATATAGAAACCTTGTATGTTAAAAGCTTTCTTCTAGATTTCTGCGGGCAAGAGCTTGCATTTTCAAAGCTTTCCTCAGGATCTCTGAGAAAGTAGATATCCCTATATGTGTTTTCATGAAAGGAAAGCTCTTGAAAGAAAGACTTATTTATTGATATATAGCATGTTTCGATTGACGTGACCATTTCCAGAGATCCAGAGGAAAGCTGTTGAAAGGAAAGCTTATATATAGTTTTATTGTAGAAATGATCATCCCCAGAGATCTAGAGGGAAGCTCTTGAATTAGAAGCTTGTACAGAAAACATGTTTAATATGTATATATATTATCTCCAGTGATTACTGACAATAAATAAATCTAACTATTTACTTCAAAAAAGAGTTTTAGTCTTGTTCCCAGCACTTCCAGGGCAAAAAATACTGTAAAACACGGGGTTTTGTAGCATGTGTTTTCTTAAACTAAATAGACTAGAGCTAGAATAGAATTAGGTAGAATTAAATTGGATTTGAGTTAGAGCTAAGATAAAACTGAAGTAAAACCGAATTTTAATAAACTTGTATTGAACTATAACTATAGCCTAATTGAAATTAGATGAGAGTTGAATTAGAAAGGAATTAGAATCAAAATTAGAAGTTCGCCAGAATAAGATGTAAACGCTTGAGCTATAAGCACAGAATTACGCTCGCAAAGATTTCCAACCGTTTCATGTAAAGGACAGAGTGTCCTCGCAACTGCATGTCAAGCTGTTTGGAAATGCAAGTGGCAACCGCATTGATACCAGTCAGCAGTTAATGCACTCAGACTTGTATATGGAGATTTGGACAAGGACGAAGGAAGTGTTGAGCTCAGACGGTTTCAGACGTAAGCAAAAAGAACAGATGCCTTGAGGTGAGAAGTAAGTTCAGATGCTAAACCAAAAACCCTTGAGAAAACACAAAAACAATTCTGAGAGACTCTTGCTTGGACCCCCCAAAATCAGAAGAATCAGAAAACCAAAAAAACCTTGGGAAAACCAAAAAAGCAAAAAAAATCTGGGGAAGTCTTGAGGAAAAGGGGGTCCAGCCAAGAGTCTCTGAGAATTGGTTTTTTTGGTTTTCCCAAGGTTTTTTTGGTGTTTTGGTTTTTCTGATTTTGGGGGGTCCAGCCAAGAGTCTCCCTGAAATGTTTTTTTAGTTTTTTGTTTTCCCATGGTTTTTAGTTCTTTTTGGTTTTTTCTTATGTGTTTTTTATCCTTTATGCATATTTATCAGTGTTTTTTGGTTTTGATTGTGGCACTGATGCATTTACCTAATATTTATGAAAATGTATGGAAAACCAAAACCCAGGCCCCATGGCCACCCCTTCTGTAAAAATATTTGTTCAATAGCCACCGCAAAAAACTAACATAACTTTAACGATATAAAAGAGCTCAATGATGGTAGGACTTGTTTTGGGGGGTGGTGCTATATATATATATACATTTATACATTTGAACTAATAGAAAACTAATTGTATATAGACAATATTATAGTTCATGAAATTTCAAGGACTCGTAAAATGACATAGGCTAAAATCTGCTCGGGCCAGTGTACGCTAGGAGTTGGGGTGTGTACGGACGGGTGTGCGGACGGGTGCGCGGGCGGGTGTATGGGTACATCCGTACATTCGCACGTCCGTCCGTACACCCGTGCGTACAAAGAACAACATGTTTTTGCAAAACAGATTTTTTCGCAAATTGCATAGGATCTATTTTGGTATGTATGTGTAGTTGCACGGGCGTACGTACACCCGTCCGCGCACCCGTCCGTACATCCACCCGTACACCTGTCCGCATGTTTGCACGCACGGCGCGAATTCACACGTTCATATCGCACGCTCGCTTGTGCGCGCAAAACATCCCACCTAAGACAAATACACCATTTTACGATTCCTTCAGTTTTCATAAATTATATTGTAAAAACATGTTGTACGACTATATCATTATTGTTTCTTGCGTGCGCTAAGAAGGTTTCAGCATGCCTATTTCCTTTGCATGTGTTGTTTGTATGACATAGTCACCAAAACAAAAACAAAAACAAGTCCATGTCTCAGGATCTGCCCCCGAGACATTGACGTATTTTCTTTGTTTTGTGTTGCTAGCTTTGATTTTTTGCCTGCAGTACCCATGCATTTGATAGTGATGTATCTGGTTTTGAGTGACTGCATTGATTGTAGCATACCACGGTATACCATTATCAATAGCATGGACGAAATTGCTGGAGACGATATGAGTCTCGCAAAGGAATTTATACAGGTATATAAAGAGTCGTGAAAAAAATATGTGTGCAAAGAAATAGTTGTCGACGATGTTTCACCTTTATTTAGTAACGCAAGTGAATGTGGACGAAGTGAACCTCTCATTAAATGGTGTTCATTTATTAAATGTGTCGTCTTTACTTTTCTTCCAAACAAAAAACCTGGGACACATCAAAAGCAAAGAGTAGATTGATAGACGTTCCAACAATAGTTTTTGAAAGTCCATTAATTCATTGTTTGGTATCCTAAGTGCATCCATGCAGGTCAAGAGTCATGAAAAAACAAATCCATTTGCCAAGACACTGATTTTTTTAAGTGTTTAAATGCAGTGAAGTTGTTCATCACAAACCAACAGCGGAGTATGGTTTTCAGAAAAAGATAAAGACAACTAAATAACTGCAAATGCGCAATGAAAATCAATAAAACAGACAACAAACCGGCAGTTGAAGCGTAAAATTTGTGTAAACGCACAGTCAAACTTACACTCTTGGAGTGGAAGTTTACATCAATCAAACTGACACAGCAACAGCATAAGTATACGCACAGCTTACACTTGATCAGTGTAACTTTACACCAAACGTATACTTTGCAGTGCAAGTTTACACTTCTGTGTGTATCTTTGATGTAAACGTACACAGCAATCATTGATATAAAAACTATTTTAAAAAATAAAGCAAATGTATGAAATTGATTTATATGTTGCGGATGGTCGTTTCATTTGTGTTCATGTTCATGTCTCTTTACGGTGATATTCTTTGATTTGTCTTAAGTGCAGTGGTCTAAACTGAATTTTCATTCTATATATAGTGAAAGCATGCACGCTCACAGCGTCCCCGTCTCAAACGAAAAGGGTCCCTGGTGTTGTGCACCTTGTTTTGTCTCCTTCTCTTTGATGTCATGGTCTTACAGTTGCAAAAGCGGGTTGAAGTGATTGTACTTGGGCTACACGGCCATTTTTTCTAGCCTTTGGAACTCACCTCATGCTGGGCTACCAATGATGAATCCTTGCCCAGACTATACCAGAATCAAAACAATGCCAAATTGGGCTCTTTTGAGGTTGATCACCCCGGAACATCCACTGCCCGAAGACTTTGTCAGGCCTATGAGCAGCAACTTGTTCTTCTCAGAAGACGCTCGCTCAACATCGTCACTCGCAGGTGCCATTTTCAAGGCTGTGCAGATGAAGAAACTGTTATAGAAGCGATATTTCTGCGCATGAAGTCATTTCAGTGTATAATTACAAGTCAAGAAATCGTTGTTGACTTCAGTGCTTGCTCAGTCAGACCCATGTCCAGTCACATTTCCAGCCTGAAGTGTTTGGCTCAAAGCCAAACTAGCTTAACGAAGCCAGCTGGCTGAGACACAGCTTTGTGCCCTGGCCGAGTGTCAATCACCGATTCGACTGCTCGATGCCGAACGAAGCCAAGGTCTCCCTGTGGCTGCTAACGCAGTGAGCCCCAGTGAATGGGGAAAGGGGAAAGGGGCGAGGGCATGGATTCTCCGCGCTTGAGCAGGTGGGAGGTTTGAGCCGGTGGATTCCATTCATTTGATCTTCATCAGAGTCCCTGACAACCTGACAACGTTGCGCATTCTTTCAGCTACTCGTTTAATCTCCTTTACAACGTTTACCTATTAAGCCATCCCCTTGAAATACAGCCTGCCAGGCCAGAAAATAGCGCTATGAGGTTGGAGCCCATCGCTACTAGGTTACAGGCCATCGCTACTAGGTTGGAGACCGTGTGAGAGCCTCGTTGCTCCAGCACGTGCGTCGGGATCCAGGGATCAGCTGCAGAAAAAGGACCTCCTTCGTCATCCAACCCATTCTACCCAGATTTGAACTCCCACACCTTGCCAGCAGGAGAGGTTCAATGCCAACCGATTGGATGTGGAACCAGGAACCCGCGAACCATCGCCGGTGTCATTCAGCAGCAATACAATTGGAATTGAATGAGTGATCCATCCATACATCTACGCATACATGTATTCGAGCTGGTTGTGTTCTTCGTTTTGCAGCTTGTTTGCTTCCCCGTTTAACAAATGCAGACATGGGCAAATTTGTTGGCAGGATCAGGAGGGCCGAAGATGTAGCTCTGAGCTTGGCATGTCACGTCAGTCTTCACACACACCAGTTTGCTTGCAGAGGTAGATATGTAGACTTCAGATGCCAGACATACCACACCAGCACAGACAATTGAAAGTAGTGTTTCTTGTTGGACAGAGATTCGGCGTTTGCAAGGTCCAGTTTCTTTGTGTTTAATAGACCTTTGTGGTAGGAGAAAAGAACTGCACACATTGGAGGCCCTCCGATCGGCGGGCTGGAATTTTCGAAGGACGGAGCAAGTTGTGGTCCAGTGGCGGTTCCCAGGTCTAAGTGGTGAGTGTCGGGTGTCCGAAGTACGTCGAAAGATTGAGGATGAAGCCCTGAGTCGTTTGGCTTATTTTTTTGTTAAAAGTCTAGAAACCAAATCATTGCTGCGAGCGCTTCTTCAAGGAAGCTCCCCCAGCACCCTCAGTCGAGGAAGCTTCCTTGAAAAAAGTGTGAGCTATCCTGCGCCCAGTGACTAGAAGCTAACTTAGCCTAGTAGCTTCCTAATCCTCTTAGCGGCCTACCCCCCCCGGGGCTTTAAAAAAGGACATAATAACAATAAGAATAAAGGGTTCATTGAGGATCAATTTGCACAAAGCCTCTTAAACTGGACAGGACCCGATCTTGGGCTCCATTGGACCGCTTTCGAAGCTCAGCTGGAATGTTAGTTGGTGGATGTAGCATACAAGAAAAGAGTACTCAGAGGTTGGCAAAAGGGAGACGACCATTGTAGTGGCTTCACAACCGAATCAAACATATTTGTAAAGACAACATCATCTTGATGGTGGGTCCAGAAGTCCAGTCAGAAGAACCATTCGGCTGGCCAAAAACTGAGGGAACACATGCACACATGCGGCTCGCCGGGCAAACATTCGGTCACTCCAGGGTAAAAGGAAGGCCAGGTCGTTTTCATCTATGTGCTGTTTGGCAAAAATGTCAGACGGCACTTCTGATTCTTCACTGGCAGTTGGCTATCTTTTCAATGTGTTGCCCCCTCCATATCGTGGCACTCCCCGCCCTCTTGAGGAAAAATGGTGGCTTAAAGAGAAACAGCCCGGAAAATAGCTTGTTTGAAGGAATTGATGTACATTTATGTGTATATATGTGTATATATGTCAGCCGTGCAACTGACCTCGATGTTTGGACCACATTACATTCTTTTCGACAGATTAGTGATTAGTGTTGCTCTTCACCAAATGAGGAACGAGATTGAGACAAGCACAACGTAAAGAGCTGGGGCGTAAAGCAACCAACACCAGCAGTGGGCAGAGGAACAAAAGTTAGCTGGGCAACAGCAAGTGCGAGACAAACCGCTGGGTTTCTGTTGCTCAGGTTCCCGCCAAATGCGGGACCATGTCCAAGACTGAGCCATGGAAGTGTTGGGCTTTGCCATTAGAGTGCATGTTGTGCTGATTCCGAGCTTCCTGACATCGAATAGCCACATTCAGATTTGATTCTGTGTATTTATATATTATAATATATATATATTATGATATTATATATTATGTTATTCACAAAGTGTATGGGTGACAGATGGGAAACGGAGAGGAGCAGTGACTGACATCCCCTTAAAGAGACATGTTCGAGTTGGTTCTGTCAAGGTAGACCAGGGCCCGGAACCAGGACAAGACTTGTTGACAGTTGCTTTGGTGCAGTTGATGCAAGTGTTTAGATACGTTTAGATGCTGTGAGCGCCTCGGTAACTGTTTTCAGCTGAATCCATCCTTCTTCAAAAAGAATTGCAAAGGACGATGGGTTCGACATCAATCCGTGACGTCGACAACTGAGTGAGCTAGGGGACATAGGGTCTTTTCTACATGCACCAAACAGCAGTGTTTAGTGAGCTATGAAGGCCATGTGTCCTGTCAATGGCCATGGTGTGCAGTACCAGATCGCCTTTCACACTGGTCGCTGATCAATTCACAAAAGACAAGAACTGCAGACCACGCTGTAAGGCACTGCGAGCAAAAGGAGACACCATCCTCTCGCAGATGCCCGCAGACCTTCAGAGGCAGACATGGTAGAATTTGCCGGGCTGTCGCATGCCATGCGTGGCTGTTGCAACTCTTTCGCGGATTGGAAGGCCTCGCAGAAGCTCTGGTTGCCAGCCAAGCACTGAGCAAAACCAGCAAAACCCTTGCAGCGATTAAAGAGGACAACTTCATTTGCTTTGCGTAATTCCTTGCTTCTTGCTTCAAGGTTTAGCAGATTTGAAAGGAGCAAGCCGCTTCCTTAGATTCAGCAAGCTTGCTCCTATGGACATTTGTGTGCGAGGCGCATCGAACATAATTCCCCTATATCCGCATGCAAATAGGAAGGATGCATCAATAGACACGATGCAAAATGCATGGAAACTGAGCCGCAGGCAAAACTCTTGATGCAAGAACCTTGATTTTGGATGTTCACCCCTTTCCTTTGTTGTGGGTTGCCTGAAATCCTGTAAACAATATGACATTGTGAAATCCCTGAAACTGTACATCACAAGCCTTGAACACCCTGAAACTCAACAGTAAGTTGTGTTGGACTTACTTGGTTGTTGGTAGTGATGTTTGGACCTTCCTTGAGACGAAAGACAATACCTTGTGAAGCAATGTAGCAAGCTACCAGAATCGATAGCTGTGGCGAGCTACCAATAATTCAGCGAGGTTGCTTGTTGCTCACCCAGTTGTCAACTCGCACTTGTTTTCCTTTGTGCCTTTGTGTATCGCTGTACCTCGTACGAAGTCGTGCAGAGGTTTGGTGGCGCGCACCATCCACGGTCTTGGAAGGCATGGTGGATATGTGTCGCTCCTTTCTCTCCGAGACCTGCAGTTCAATTTGGTAAGAGAGCTGCCATGGAGGTGTTGTAAGAAACAAAAGAGGATGAAGGATGACTTCTTTCTGCAGGGCAGAATAGTTTTACAAAGCAGAAGGTGTGATGTACTGAAAGAAGGTTTGCATGACTGCTATACAGGGCAGAAATGTTTTGCACAGACAAAGGATGCAGCATTTAGAGTCTAGAGCAGTAGGCTTGTCCAGAGAGGAGGCCTTTTAGGAGAAGGAGATTTGGGAAAGGGAGAGAATTAAGCTGACGAAACACAACAAATTGTGCCTGCCACTAACTCTGGAACTTGAAGATTCCGTCAGGGAAATTGAGCCTTCAAGAAGAATGCAACCATGTGACCATATCGGCCGCCACCAACATTGCATTTAACATTTAACTCATTTCAGTTTTACCAACCCTAAATTCAACTGAGCACCATCAGGAAAGGTGAAATCTACCATGAGTGCCATGAAAAGTGAACTCAAACTGGGAAAGTAACCGCGGCACTGCAGCGAGAACGCACCTCGGAAGCAGCCTTCCACGCCCACCAGATCAGTCGAAATGCTTCTGCGGGAAACTTTTCCGGGTCAGCGCATGCAAAATCCCACCACAGCCCTGCAAATCAACGCACTTAGTATCACTTAGCCACTCAATTAACGGCAAGTGCAGAAACACTGGTGGTGCACGAAGTCCACGAAGTGTGTGTGTGTGTGTGTGTTTTGTTTACGTGTGCAAAGTCGAAGCAAGGAAGGCGACGACACGACAATCGAATTGAGTGGCGCAACGACGCGGCGCGGACCGAGCCGGCTTTTTGTTTCATGAGCCCACCCTGCAGTGGGCAAGGTAAAAACATGGTCAAACCTAATGCGCGGCGTGCATTTCACACGGGTGGTGCTATAGCCGAAAGGTCTTTCACAGGCCGCTGTAATCGGCCAGGCATGCCTCAGGTTCATCCCTGAGGCTCCCACCAAACACTTAGTTGACTCTATCCAGCGGGCATCGTGGATCTGCGCAATATGCGCAGCCACGCAGCCAGAGGCGGCTGTGATCCACCACTTGGTCAGCGGGTCTCGTAGTGCCAGCATTCTCCATGGCGAGATGCCATCACGGGCACACGTGATCCATGTGATCGTCGACCACTGACAAGCTTCATGATTTGGGCGGCATCGCTCAACACACGGTAGAGCCGATTCCGCTCTTCCAGCCCAAGGTGAAGGCCTCGTCTGGCCCCTGTGGCAGCAGCATGATACTGAGCACCTCGTTGTTGC